TTCCGCGCAGGGTCTTCTCCTTTTGTTTCTAGTTTTGCACCCTTTATCATGAGAGCTAAGTTTGAAGAATCTTAGTCCTTTTTTTCTAACATTATTGCCTTCTCTTTGAAACTTTTATTGATCTTTGATGAGTGAAATCACTGTTCTAACACCTTTTGACACTTAACAGTTAACTTTTTTAAAACACTAAACATTAAAATTTACAAATTTTAACACTAAACATTAAAAAAGGCCAAATAACACTTAACGCTAAACCCCATTCAGACCCTCTTTTATAGAATATACTTTACTAAGCGAACATTATGGACTTTACTTTAATCCTTGCGCAATTCCGGTAGCAAGATGCCTCCTGGAAGGGAAAAATTATGGTCGACCCTTTTCATTAAAATAACAATCTCGGACGACCGAGGAAAGGTTCACAGGACTTCAAATACTCCTTAAATCGAGAAAAAAATAACAATAACGGCGAAAATGAGATTTCGAATGAGAACTTTAATCACTATCATTGTGTTACCAAGGGTTTGCCTCTAATTATCAAGAAGGCTGTAGATCTTGAAACTGTAAACACTAAACTGCGACATTCTGACTTAACTTAAGAATAACAGTTTATGAGTGTCCATCAGTAGGGCGTTACATCATTAACTGGTCTATCTGAACATCTCATGCATGAACCTTTTGTGCGTAACATTTTGGTTTTCAGAAAGCGCATCTTCACTATTGAAGTCATTGAGGTGATTCTACGCGAATAGAAAATCATCTATATAAATCAGATAAAAAAATTCTTAAAAGGGAAAGTGGGAGGGGGGTCACCTTGCTTATTTCTGTGGTTCGAAGCTGGTGAATACTGAAACGTCTTCGACATTATGTGACATTTGACAATACACGTGTACACTCAAATCTGAAAAAAAAGGCTCTGTCGTGACTCATCCTCGTAAAGGATCTGTCATTATTATAAGTGCGAAGCCGCAGATTTTGGTGGAATCACATGCCGGGTTTTCAGGAGCAATATATGGAATGGTGGGGCGGGGGGGAAGACAAACATCGCAATAGAGCATGAGGAAGGACTGTAGAAAATTGACTTACTCATAACTACCGATGGAGGAGGGAGGGGGGGGGGAAATCAGGTTAATGTCACATAAACCAATTACTGCGATCTCTCTCAGGCGAGGAATCATGACTGATACCTTATTGGTAATTTGTGTTTCGTAAAAATATATTTAACAGCCTCATAATCCCATTTTGCTAAAACAAAAAAATGGGTATAACATGCCCTGGGTTGTTAAGCCCGGTATGGCTCTTCGTTCAATTTTATCAAGTTTCCTATGAGGCTATGAAACTTTGCTGTGTTTTTCTTTTCATTGTTTACTTAACACAGTTATTTTTTTATCATTTATTTGAGACGCTATTGCCATGAATACGTTCAGCAGAGAGAAAGTGTCACTATTAATCGATCGGGAACTAAGAGATTCGTCAACAGTTATATTTATCCTCGCAATGTTTGCCCATAACAATACAAACTGTTTGCGGTTTTGAAACCCAAATACTGCGACTATAATAAAAATATGTCCACGTATTTCCTTCCAGTGAACCGCTGATATAATGCAGTCTCGGATTTTTAAAATTGCCATCAGTTTGTTTAATATCTAACTTAATTTTTTGTTTCAAAAGTCTGCGTACATGACACTTAAACGACAAACCAAAGTAAAGGTCAACGACTGGCTAAAAAGTACACTTGATGCTTTTTTGAACAAACGTGTGGAAGTTAAGATCATACAGTGTCTACTTTAATACCATACTTTCGTAAATTCTACGTGCCCTAAGACGAGTCTGGTAACTTCTATTGAATTTACAAGCTGGTGGTAAACCAAGGTGCAGTTACTGTGACCGCTCGACGAAGTGTCCTCCAAGCAGTGGACGAACATTTCAAGATGGCGGAAAGACTGTTCTGGCTTTTCTTGTTCTCTCACAAAGGAGGCCGAGAAAACAGGAGCCATGTTATTGTCACTGTCATCGGTAGCACTCGATAACCTCTTCAAGCTTGACAAACCTGCCTCTATCAGGTGCACTGAGGGTTGATACAACAAACGAAAAAGATCGTTTTCATTTTTTAAACAACCAATTGATAACAAGTATCCAAGATTTAATGAAGACGTTACAGAATGAATAGTTTCTGTTATAACATTAGACATGTTACGTCATCGGTCAGTCTATATGTCATATGGCAAATACATCAAATACGAAATATTTCAGTCACTATAACTCTCTTAATCGTCATCTGTAGCACTCGACAACTTGACCAAACCCGACGGGGATACACACCTCTACCTGGGGTACTAAGGGTTCATACAAACAAAAAAGATCGATCTTTGATCCTTTTTACGAAACTAGCCCAATAAGATTTGTTTAACAGGATGCGGTGGACGAGCGAGTAGGAACGGAAAGGATTCAAGGATTTCCAAAGTAATTTATTGTAAATACAAACTAACAGAAAAACAGCAGG